GGGGCCAACAAACCGATGCCCAACACCGATTCCCACCGCCAACTCGAACTGCATTAGCTCTGACGTCCGTTCTTGTTGCTAGTGGGTGGGACACTAGCCGAACGAGGCGCCAAGGGAGGGTGTGAGCTAACGCAGGGCCTAGCAAGGGCAAAAACCAGGCCTTTTAAAACCGACCGAAAAATCCTTCAGGGACCATACCCCCCCTATATATGCTTAAAAAACATAAACCCAAGTTACAGCAGTAGATACGATTTTGCTGTAGAGTCACACTCACCAAACAGGCCCCAAATTCAAACACCAAGCCAATTCCTCGTCACAGCCCGTAACCAAACATTATTCTTAGATCATAACGATATGCAAAACACACTAACAAACATTTGGGGCGACGAAAAAGCAATAGCCAAAACGGTAAAAGCACTGGTTCTCCGAAAGCCCACACTTCAAAAACCACAAGTGAAAAACAAAATTCATGCCACCCACAATTTGACTTCCAGCTACAAAAGATATAGGAACTTGTTTAATGGCTTTTTGCTTTGCAAACGCCGAAAAAACAAACGGAAAAGAGCAAGAGCCAAGCCTTTTTTTAGCCGACCGGAAAAGCCTTCATTGACCATGCCCCCCGCTACATGATGCAACGATAGCCGGCATTCCCCAAGCGAGCATGTGAAAACATGATCATGCCCCCCGATGTCACAAGGGTGCGCATGAGGTAACACACGGCCTAGCCAGGGCAAAAACCAAGCCTTTTAAAACCGGCCAAAAAACATTCACGGAACATACCCCCCCTATATATGCTTAAAAAACATAAACCCAAGTTACAGCAGCAGATACGATTTTGCTGTAGAGTCACACTCACCAAACGGGCCCAAACTCAAACACGAAGCCAAATCTTTGTCACGGCCCATAACGAAACATCATTCTTGGATCATACAAATTTGCAAAACACACTAGAAAACTTTTGGGGAAGTAGCCCCTTGGGGTGTCCAATTTTTGGGCGTAACTTTTGCTAGGAGTATCCGTTTTCAGCGTGCGACCACTTTCTAGAAAGGACTCAACGAGATGCACAGGGGGCTGATCGGGCGGAAGCCCATCGGGTTTCAGTTATGACCTCAAATTCGCTCGTTTAGGCCGCCATTTTGCAGTTTTATTGTTTCTGGGCTTATGGCCTGCTTTTTGTTCACCCCATTCACTTCTCATTCCTAGGCCGGCTTGTGGGGTTCTTTCATTCGCACTTTACTTTTCATATTATATCATAACCCTAGCATGGAGTTTTCCCCTAGCTATTATTCTCTTTCCCTCTTATTCGTTGTTCTTTTCGTTCTGTCCGTACACCTGGATTCAATTCTGCGTCATCTGGTATCAGAGCTCAGTTCGACGAAAAGGAAGATCATCCTTCATCATCAATGGTGCGTGCACGAGTTAGCGGCCTCG